TACCTGACACTACAAAAGAGGCCAAGAACCTGAGACTATATGGATCATGGGCCTAGGGAAAAATTACTATTTTTCTGCTAAAGGAGCATAGCATCCTAATGATGCACTGCTCAACCCATGGACCACTGCATCACTCAGCCCTCATCAGAGATGCTGCCTCTTGCAGTAGACAGTAATTAGCATTGAGGCCACAGCTGGACAATGTGCAGAGATACTGCAGCACTCAGCCCTAGATGAGCTGTCAGACTCCTCAAGGCTCAGGGAGCTATGAAGGAGAGGAGGCCAAAAGATGGTAAGAGCTAGAGGTGGTACATGACTCCAAGGAAACCGTATCTTTCAGACACAACAGGGAACTTATGAACTTACAGACAAAACCCCAGCTCCGAGAAGGGGTAGTGGACACAAAGTCCCGTACCTCAACCAAAAAGCTATTTGTAACTGATAGCTGCTGGAAGAGGAAAACAAAACTCAGCATTTTCCAATGGAGTGTCACTGTGTTTTCAACCACACTCTAGGGCAGGGCCCATGAGTTTTTGTGAGCATTTTGCTTTGTTTTGGTATTTTGTTTTTGTTTAAAGTTTGTGTGTCTTGGTTTTAATTTTTTTGTTGTTGTTTTTATTTTTCCTGCTTTTTTTGTTTGGGGAGATGTTAGAAAGACACAGAGAAAATGAATTTTGGTGGGTGCAGAGATGGGGATGATCTTTGAGGAGTTGGGAAGAGAAAGGATGTGATCAAAATATATTGAATGAACATTGTACTAAAACACTAAAAATATACATTGTATGTATATATGTATATAATATGTAACATATAAATTATACTTCAATAAAGTTGTCATAATAAGTTTGTTTGTTTATTGAGACAGGGTCTGGTTATGTAGCTTTAGCTGGCCTGGAACTCACTATTCTGGTTTCAAACTCACAGAAATCTGCCTGCCTTTGCTTCCCAAGTGTTGAGATTAGAGGTATGCACACCAAGCCTGTCTCAGCTGTTTCTAAAAACTCTTTGAGAACAGCCAGAGCAACATGTCTCATATAAAACAAAACAAAATAACAAACCTTTAGGTGGCTCACATCTGTAACCTCAACGCTTGGAAAGCTGAGGTAAGAGGACTGGCAATGAGTTCATGGCCAGCAAGGTCTACATAGTAAGTTCCAAGCCAGCCAGAGCTACACAGTGATTATCTTGTCTCAAAAATCTGAAAAATAAATGGGAAAACCAAGGCCACTGAATTGCCTCACTAAGTAAAAGAGTTTGCCGTGTAAACCTGATGGCCTGAGGTTGATACTCAGAATTCACAGTAAAAGGAGAGAGCCATCCTTCAGCACACTAATAATAAATAAAATGTTTAAAGACCGCATACATTAAAAATAGAATCAAATCTCTTAGTGCTGAGTTCAATGGGTTCAGTAGAGATGGCCTACAAATGGAAAAGGAGATAAGCACAGCAGACCCGAACCATCATCTCCAGTCAAGACAGATGATTATCTCAGTGAAGCTGAACCAAACAGGGCTCTCCTAAACTTGGAGAGAAAACAGCTACAATAGTGGGCCTGATTTGCTGTATGAGTACAGAATATTCTATGTTATTCTATGTGTATGAGTGTTTTGTTTGAACGTATGTCTGGGCACCACATGTGTGCCTGGCCAAAAGCCCTTGTCTAGTCCCCTGGAATTGGACTTGTGGGTGGTTTTGGTGTGCTGTGTGGATGCTGGGAATCAAACCAGAGTCCTCTGTGAGAACAAGTGCTAGTCACTGTTGAACTCTCTCCCCAGCATTTGTTACGTGAAACTTTTCCGGCAGCAACCTGAACACATGGCTACTCACCCCACACGACACTGGCATTAGATCAAAGTCATGATCCCACAAAATCCATCTTGGTGAGCCAATAAGGTCACTGAAGCTACTTGCAGGAATATAGGTTAGGGGTTACTTACAGGAACATGAGTGTCTCAAAGCTCACTCCAGCATGGCTCAGGCTTCATGAAAACTGCCTCCCTCCATCTCCCTGAACAACTTGTAAGTAGTTGGCAGGTCAGACTCTCTTTGGGACTCTACGGATGGAAGCCTTCTTAGTGTCTATAAACTTTTTTGGGGGGGGTTGTTCTGAAACCTGGAGGTTTGTTGACTTCCTGAGTCTCAGGACCACCTTCCTCCCTCCAGGAAGAAGTGTTTCAATTGGAGGAAATAACCACCTCACCATACCTAAAGGTTTCTGGGTAAAATGTTGAAATCGAATGTTCTTGGCATCTGATTCTTTGAAACTTGGTCTCATTTCCTTTAGGACATTGGGGTCTCCATTTGCCCATCCCCCCCCCAAAACAGTGCTACTATTTAGCATGATGCCAATGGGGATGGGACATGGAGAACATACCCAGCCTCCGGTCCTCTGACCTGGTTCCATTTCTCCTGTAAGCTGGGAGAGGTAGAAGGAAAATCACAGGAAAACTGAACAGGACAACCAGGCCAAGCTTTTTCCTTTGGAGTGGAACCTTTCAAAATGCATGGGATAGAACATTTCTGAAATTCAAGAAAAAAAGGCCTGTCAAGAACTTAGAGGGAGCCAGGTGTGGTGGTGCAGGCCTTTGATCCCAGCACTCAGGAGAGAGGCAGACCAATCGCTTGAGTTTGAGGTCACTTGGTCTACAGAGTGAGTTCCAGGACATCCAGGCTCTGCCTAGAGAAACCCTTTCTTGAAATGCCCTCTCAAAAATTAAAAAAAGAACCTAGAGGAATGCTGCAGGGCCGTGGTTATTTTCCTTCAAATCTAAACCTGTTTCTTTGCCTTTTTCTTCTATGCTATCTATGGTCTTTCTTGGTCTTTTCCATATTCCTGAGACTCTAGACAATGTGCCTTTGTTGCAGATGCCCCTTTTATGAGCAGGAGATGACATTAACACTTGTTATTTTGGGTGCTTCTTCTGGAAGTCAGGTTTTGGTACATGCTACGAAAGAGCCTTGTCAAAGAGCCACATGCAGAGACCCGACCAACACACCTAGATTCCTGGTCCATAAAATAGGGCATTTTTTATTTTTAGTGATGCCTTATTTCAATCATGCAAAAGAACTTGAGTTTTGAGTGTTAGTTTCTAATGAAGCCTTGATGCCAAGACTGATAAAAATTGGCTAGCAAACTTGGCAGCATTTCTCAGCCAGCCATCTGCCTAGGAATGACCTTGTTATCAAGGCTAATACCAAAAACCACCCCGGATACAAGACAGCAGTGAGACCCCTCTGGGAAAAGGTCTGGTAAGCCCATTCTAGAGCCCTCAAACAGGAGACACTTCCACTGGGAAGGGATTGTCTTTGCTTCTTCCTTCCCACAAAAGCATACTTCCGATGCACTTTGTTTCTTGGGAATCCGGGGTGAGAAACTCTAAAGAATGCGTAGCAGGCACAGACCTGTGTGAGCCTAGGGTGAGATGGGGAAGGGTAGGCGGGGCTAGGAAGAGGGTTGCCAACACAAATGTCCTATGGGGACTTGGCAGTTTTGCCAGGAGGCTGACAGGGATGTGCTCTTGTCTAGAGAAGGTGCCTGGTTCCCCCTGGTCTGGGCTGAGGAATCTGGAGTCATGGGAAAGGGCAGAGAAAAGTGCTGGCAGGGAAGGACTAGAATGCAAAAGAAGTAGGCTAATGCCAAGGGACTACTGGAATTTCCCAGGGCCTGGAGGGTGAGGGTTGGGAAGCCAGAGGACCCTCAGAGGAAAAGGAAGGAGTGAGGTGAATTCACAGGAACTCCACTTATTCCTGATTGCTGTGCTGGGTAGAAGGGATACATACTCTGGAGTCCGGGGTCAGGCGATTATGGAGCCAACGCTTGAGAATTCCAGCACACTACATTCGTTGTACCATCTGCCCAAAGGTTGTGGGCATCTGATCAATTCCCAGAGGACTTAGGACACATTGGAGTTGGAGGGGGCACTTCCACAGTACTCCATTGTAACTACAGTCTACACTAATGGCTGCAGTCTACCCTACCTCAGTAATACAGGAATTGTCACACCCGTACTTAGGCTTCTCAGTTTAACTTTCCCACCCTTTCTAAGTCCCCAGCTGGATTGGGTGACTTTGTACTTCCACAAAGAGCCGCATGCTTGCCCTTATTGTGTAACATACCATCATGTTGTAATTTCTGGCTCACATCTCCATCTCCCCAACCATCTGCATTCCTGGAACAGGAACAGTTCTTGTCTGTCATGGCCAAGCCAAAGGCTCTCTCACTGAGTAGACAGATGCTCACATACCTCAAGGATCACTCCAGCAGTACATATCCCTTAGGGACCAGGGTCAAGAGAACCTAGTACCGTGTCCCTCCTATCCAATAGGAAGGTACTTTGCCACCTCCTACCTACCCTGCCATCTCCCAGGAAGCTGCCAAGAATGGCTTTTCCAACTGGCAAAGGGATAAGCTTTCCTTCCTGGAAGGTTTTGGCTGGAGAACTGGCCCTTGCTTCTAAGCTGTTGGGGCCATGCGTAGATGGAGAAGTTGAGTCAGTCCTAGCCTTGTAACAATTTCCTAAAGCCTGTGTTGTCCACCTCTTATCTCCTCCAAGAACATCTAGCAGGGACCAGATTTCTCCGATCCTGGTAGAGATAAGGGGTGGGATTGGCTAATGCCTCTGGTCACATGGCCACCTTTAGCTCCAACTAACCAACACAAAGCTACACTCCACCACAGAACATGCCTAGACCTGGTATGAAGAGTGCCTGCTTTTTTGTTTTTTTTAGACAGGGTTTCTCTGGCCGTCCTGGAACTCACTTTGTAGACCAGGCTGGCCTCAAACTCAGAGATCTGCCTGTACTGGGATTTAAGGCGTGCGCTACCAACGCCTGACTAGGAATGCCTGTTTAACATGTGCATGGTCAGTTCTAGCATCAACACGCATGCACAGGCATGCACCCACATCATTAAAGCCCTAGTTTGAAGAAAACCTTAACCCTCTTCTTAGGCAAGAATGGCTACTTCACAGCCCTCCCCACAGCCCAGGAAACACACAACTAATTTCAGCTTCTTTATTTTCCTTTTAATTTTTCTGAAGGATATACACCACATATCCCATGGGCAATAAAGCGCATTCAATGTGTTTATAAGCCAAACAAGTCACTTTGTTTAAGCAAACACAAGTACAAAGTAAAATAAAACCACAAAATAATGAACTTCATGTTCATAACATACAAAAATTGCCGCCTACTCAGTAGGTAACTACAACATTCCAACTCCTGAATATATGTATAAATTTACATTTTCAGTTAAAAAAATAGACTTTTGAGAGTTCAGATTTTGTTTTAAAATTTTTCTTCTTACATTCTGGAGAACCAAAGCTCAGCTCAGCCCTCTTCCTCATTTGTCTCTCAAAGCCTCCCCCAAAACATCACTCCTACCCCTTTAAGGCTAGAGGTGAGCATGTCCCTCACAATTGCACATGTCAAGCCATCGGCAAGGCGTGTCACACAAAAGGCACCAAGACGTGAAACTTTTTAAACCAAAGGGACGGGCAGATTAAAAAAAAAAAAAAAACAACAACCAAACAAACCATATTTGTCACATGTGAGAGTACAGTCGAGCAGTATTTACAAAAAGGTTAACGGAACACTCTGACACATGCTCTGGTTAATACCTAGGACTGCTGCTTCAAAAGATGCTCCACACATATTGTTACAGCAGCCATCACAAAATAGAGGGTCACCGTTGGTTTGCTTGGCTTTACTCCCCCTCCCCCCAGTGAGGATGGAACTCCAAATAATACAATAGGGTATGCAAATTATCTTCACATCAAGGATACCCCAAGGAAAACAAAATCCATGGCACAGACACTGTACAAAGATACAGGGCAGGGTTCTGAGGGCCCAAACCCATTTTCGCCAACTTGATGTTGTAGCACTGAAGGGAGCAAGGGTCAGGCATATGATGGAGATGATACTGAAATGATTAATCCAATACCCATGCAAATCAAGTTCTTTGGATAGAGGTGAAGAACTCGGACATGGCTGTTTCAGGCAGCTGAAGTCAAAGAGAATAGGAACGGGGAGGCAGGAACAGGTAAGTAAAAGGACCGTTGGCCAACAGACCATCTCTTGGCTCTAACCTAAGAGGAGCCCCTTCTGATGGCCATTTCCCTCCTGTCCTTTGTGGTCTTTTCATGGTTTTCCCCCTCCCTTTGCTTTTTCCCTTTAGCAAATTTCAATGGTCCTAGGTGAAAAGGTTGCGGTCATGTCCGAAAGCCCAGTTGAGGTGCTGAAGGAGTTAGTGACAGCCGCAGTCGGGAAGCTGCTGACCTGGGCAGGGAAAGCAGGTGGAACCGAGGCGAAGGTGGTGGCCACAGAGGGAGAGGGGAAGCCGCTGTGTGCAGGAGACGGGTAGGTCGAGGAGCCGGGAGAGGAGTAGGAGGTGGGCACAGGGGATGGGTAAGAGGTAGCCACAGGGGATGGGTAGGAAGGGAGGGAAGAGGTGGCTGAAGAGGCCACAACACTTTTGTCTGCCTTCTTGTCCTTCTGTCGCAAGTGGATTTTGGTATGCCGCTTGCGTTCATCACTTCTGGCAAACTTTCTCCCACAAATGTCACAGGCAAAAGGCTTCTCGCCTGTGTGGGTACGGATGTGGGTGGTAAGGTGGTCACTGCGACTGAAGTTGCGCATGCAGATTCGACACTGGAAGGGCTTCTGGCCTGTGTGGATGCGGATGTGGCGGGTGAGCTCATCGGAGCGAGAAAAGCGGCGATCGCAGGATTCCACCGGGCAGGCATAGGGACGTTCGTGGGGGGGTGTCTTGCTGGGCCGGTTAGGGTACTTGCGCATGCGGCTGGGTTTGATAAGCTGGGACTGGTAGGTGGTATTAAGAGCTTTTAAGTCCTGGGATCCTGACTGTGTGGCGAAGGCTTTAATAGTGGATAGTGGAGTAAGTGAAGGTTGCTGGGTACGGTTCTCCAGACCCTGGAAGGGTTTCTGGTCTGGGGTGCCCAGGCCCAGGTCTCCCTGTTGTTGTGGGAACAGATAGTCAGGGATCATGGGAACTTGGAAGCCACCCTTGGTGGCCGGATAGGCAGGAGGCGGGTACTGTAGGGCAGTGCCTGCTGAGCCGGGAAAGGCCTGGCTTTGGGACTCAGGGAAAATGTCAGTGTTGGGAGTGGGAAAGGTGGGTGCAGCTGAGTAAATGGGGCTGCTGTCGTTGGATGGCACAGCACAGCTCAGGGGTGGGCTCTGGGAGGAAGAGGAAGACGTTGATGCTGCTGGAGAAGGTGCTGAGGATGAAGAGGCCGGAGGATTGGTCATGCTCACAAGGCCACTGACTAGGCTGAAAAGGGGTTCAGGCCACAAAGTGTTGCCACTGTTGGGTGCAGGCTCCAGGGAAAAGCGACCAGTGTAGGTGATAGGAGGCAACCGAGTAGTTTGGCTGGGATAACTTGTCTCCACCATTGCCTTCTCATTATTCAGAGCGATGTCAGAAAAAGACTCTGGCAGGAAAGAGAGGAGAGAGGCCTGGTTACTGAAGAGCAATCACTGGGCGATGAGAACCGAGGCGTCCAAGCAAGAGGTCGCTCGGCTACCACTGACTCCCGGTGTGGTTAATAATTGATAGCAGCAGATTGCAATGTCCCTGGACCTGCTCCAGTGGCAGAGCCCGTTTCAACAGCTGACGCAAACAGAGAATCCCCCCTTTACTGCAGCTAGAAGAGCGCTCTGCAGCGAGGCTGCGCGGGCGAGGGAATCCCGCCAGCATCCTAGTGGCCACAGCTAATGCGCGCCCCCTACCCTGGGCGATGGGACAACCCTGTTCACAGATTTCAGCCCTTCCTTGGGGACAAGCAGCCAGCCACGCAGTGCCGCTCGCGCGCGGGGGAGGGGGCAACCCTGCTCGTCAAAACAAACCCTCCCCCCTCTAACCACCCACGCAGCTTGAGCTCTCCATCCAAAACAAACGCTCTGCGCTCCGCAAGGATTGGGGGGGGGGGTCCCCCGGACATCTCTCTAACACAAGACCCAGGAACTGTGTGGAATAGAGGGAAAACCCAGTCCCATCCCTAAGGTCTAGAAGCAGATAAACGGCTGGACGTTAGGGTAGTCATGAAGGAGTATTCATCCTCGTCGCAGACCACCGCTTACCTGTGGTCAGGTGCTCGTAGGGCTGTTCTCCCGGCTCCCCCTGAGGATTGAAGGCGCTGCTGCCGCCGCTGTTGCTGCCGCCCCCACCACCGCCCCCGCTGTTGCTGCTGCTGCTGCTGTTGCCGCCGCTGCCCTCTGGGGCTCCGGCAGCACCGAGGAACTGGGGAGCTCCGTTGCTCAGCATCATCATCTCCTCCAGTTTGGGGTAGTTGTCCATGGTGGGTGAGTGAGGAAAGGAGCCGAATGGGTCAGAGATCTGCAGCGGGGACATCAACTGCATCTCGGCCTTGGCCGCTGCCATCCCGGACGAGCGAGCGAGCTGGAGAGCTGATGTTGGGCGGTGGGCGCAGCCCGGGGCCGAAGCTACGGAGGGCACACTCGGCGGGGGATGGCCGGGTCACATGCGGGGCGCAGGGCACACTGTGCGGGACGTAGGTGAGCCCCCAGGCTGGCGGTGGACGCAGGGCTGCCGGGGAGGCTAGGGCAGGGGCCGATCTTGCGGCGGCGGAAGCTGGCGGCGGCGAATCGCGGCGGCGGCTCCCCAAGTTCTGCGCGCTGGGATCTCTCGCGACTCCCCGAATCGGCCTCTATTTCAAGGGTCTGGAGCGGCACGGGCCCGCCTCCGCCGTGACGTACATGGCCATATATGGGAAGCAGGAAGCCCTAATATGGAAGGACCGGCCGGGAGGACCCGGAGTGACGTGAAGCACCCCCATCCGAGAGCGGTGGGCACCTCCACCCTGAGACCCGCTCCGGCACCTCGAGCACTCAAGCTCCGGGAAAGCCGAGCCCTGGGAGGGCAGCGGTGGCCTCCGGGGCCAGGCGCCTGGAGTTCCCAGCCTGCCCCCGCCCCGACCCCCTCGCCCCTCCTCCCAGAGCCGGAAGCGGCAGGGCCATATTGGGCCGCTCCAAATAAGGCGCTGCCCAAATAAGGTCTGTTCCGGCGGGGGATCCTTCCTGCTCCTTATATGGCGTTTCCGGGTCGGCGCAGCCACCCTCCCCCTCCTTGGTTCCCAGCCGGGAGCCCGAACGCGCGCAGGAGTCGGGGACGCCCGCGTGGGGAGGGCGCCGGGCGCGGAGAGCTGGGCGCGCGGCGGCTCCGACGGCCCCCGGGAGCGAGCTGGGCTGGGGAAGCCCGGGCCGGGCGCGGGGGCGAGGGCGAGTCAGGCCGGGGTTCTACAGCCGTCATCCTGGGCTCACCCGCCCACCTCGGGCACCGTGGGAGCGAGCCTGCGAGAGGAGGAGCGGCTGGGCGGGCTGGGGCGGAGGCCGCCCAGGGGAGGCGGGGCCCTGACCCGAGCCTCGGCTGATGGCAGGGTCACTTTGCAGGTGTCACCGGGAAAACTGGGAGCAAGGAACGTGGCCGCTGGTTCTGGAGACGCTGCCTAGCAGTCGGGCGCGTGTCAGTAGGCTGGGGGTGTTAGGACCTGGGGCTCCCAGTGCGCCAGCCACAATCGAACGGCTGCTCCCAGGTCCCTGCCGTTGAGGAACCCACCTTTGGCGACCTGGACTGCAGACCCTGATTGCTAGGACAGTGTGGAGTCCCCGCCAGGGGCTGTTGGTTCTTGTGAAGGTTGGGCACTTCCTGACCTTTATCCAGTCCGGGGCCGGGCCGGGCGGACCGTGCCCTGTCCTAAAGAGGGGACTTTCCTTCGGGTTGCCTGGCGACCCCTGGCTTGGCTGCCGAGGACGCGCTTGCGACTCGCTGCTGCCCTCTGGAGGTCTCTCCGGTTGTGTTCCCGGGGCCCCGGGCGGGGCGGGCTCTTCCGCCGCCCCCACGTTCCCCCTCCCGTTTTCTGTGCTGGGCGCAGAGCCAGGCCGGGAGAGCCTGAGACGCAGTGAGCGAGAACTGAGCAGGCGCGGCGGCCTGGGCCTTCCCCGCAGTCCCGAGGGAACCGCCACTGCCAAGGCGCCTAGACTCCGGGGTAACACTTTCCTCACGGAGCCAGGCCAAGGGCAGGGAAGGCGGGGAGGTGATGAAGTGATTCCCGCAGGTCTCCTGGGACCCTGACGCAAGCCATGAAGCTCTCCTCCCCCAACCCCAAAGGGGAGAAGAAGGGATTCCAGGAACGAAGGAAGGCTCTTGTTGTTTCCAAATTTGAATCCAGGGAAGGTGCTGTTTTTTATTTTTTATTTAGAAAGAAAGCAAATGATGCCCGTGTGGAAGGAGAGTGAGAGACAGAGAAGGAAGGTCACGATCATCAAGGTTTAATGGGGTGAGGGGCTCACTCTTCGGCATTCTCTCTGACATCCCACCCCAACCCAGTTTTATAAAAAGCAGCTTAAGGAATCCAGCCACGAACCACGGTTTCGTTGTGTTTAAACTCACCATCTTAAGTTCTTTGGCCAAGTATTCAGTTGTTCACTTAGGGGCCATAAGCCGGCCAGGCAGGCCAGGCAGCATCAGTTACTTCCTGTACAGTGAGAGTGCCCCTTTTGCCACTCTGATGGGGTTCTCTGACCAGTTTCTGTGTCTCACTTTTTCTAGTAAAATAAGGGTATTGTTAACGACGTTTGTGTGAGAGGATTGTTTCATGGACTGGGATTTACACAGCCTGCTACCTGTAACTACCAAATACAGTTATCAAGCAGTAGAGTTTATTACTTTTGCCCACCCAACCTCACTCAGCCTTCAATAAAACCCAAATGGGGCAGGGAAAGTAACTCAGTTTATAGAGGGCTTAGCTTGCAGAAAAACCTTGGTTCTAGTTTGGCATGAATCGACCCCGTGTTGATAATCCCAATACTTGGGAAGTTCAGGTAGGAGCATGACCCTTTCAAGGAGGCCATCCTGGACTACTTAGCGCTTTTTAAGCTAACTTGGGCTACATGAGACCCCATCCTTTAAGAGAGAGAGAGAGAGAGAAGAAAAACAAGAACATATAACATTGTGCAGAGAAAAAGCATTCCAATCCTAACACAAGAGACACTGTCCCCTAATAGCTAACCTGTATCCATTTAACAAAACAAACTTGATTATTTTATATGTGTGGGTGCTTTGCCTATGTGTATGTAAGTGCACTGTCTCTGTGTATTGCCCATGGACTCTAAAAGAAGGCATCAGATCCCCTGAAACTGTGGTTGCCGATGGTGAGCCTCCATTTGGTTGCTAGGAATCAAATCAGGACCCTCTCTGCCAGGAGCCTGTGATCTTAACCACTAGCTGCCTCTTCAGCTCCTAATCTGTATTCTTCCTCATGCAGGAGAACATTTTTTCCTAGAGCAGAAAATTTTCAACCTTGATGGACAGGAGAATCACCTGTGGGGCTCTGGAAAAGAAAGCTTATATGGAGCAACTGAATCATGGAACCGAGAAGGCAACCAAGGACCCTATGCCTGGAACATTCCTTAGACCGTGAACAACACATGCACACGCGCACACACACCAGGACAAAGAAGCTGTCCTGTGAGTTTACAAGTTTAGCTCAGGTACCTGCATGTCTGCATCTTTTTGTGTCCAGCACCAGTTATTTTTGGAATATTCCTCAGCCAGCAATTTCTTCTGAGGAGCCACCACCACTCTGGTGGTTGTCAGGGGAAGATTAACTCCACCCCTAAATCTAAATGTAAATCTACGTGTAACCTAGGTCTGGCCATCCATATAGGATCCTCTAATCTAGAAGCATTCTGTTTCCTGTGGTGACTAAATTGAGATGGACACATGACCCAGACCAGGCCAATGAAGATAGCTTCTGGAACTTGAGCTCCTGAGGAAGAAATCTTCTTCTCTGGCAGATACAAAGCTTGGAATGTGAGCCTGGAGTCTGCTTGGCTCTGAGGAGGAGACCCTGCTTGAGAATGAAGCCAGAGGAAGGAAAGCAGAGAAAAGTGAGTTTTTGGATTCTGTCTAGGCTTCAGTTGCACAAGTCAGTGCCTTCCCTTCTCGTTATACAACACAAGAGATTCTAATCAACATACCCTCTCAACTGCAGCTCCAAGCTTCTCTGAGAAGCTGCGTGGATAAGGCCGATGGGGCAGCTCCACCTGCCCACCCCTCTCTAAGGAGTGCATAGTGGGCAGAAGCAAGCCTGGGCTCTGCAACAAGAGAAGGAAGCATTCCCTTAGCCATCCAATTCCCTGGACAGGGTCTTGTAACTTGTGACTCTAGCATGAAGATTGCCACAATTTCAAGTCACTAGCCTGGGCTATGTAAGACTCTGTCCCAAACCGGGTACATACCTTTAATCCCAGCACTCAGGAGGCAGAGGCAGGTGGATCTCTGTTAAGAGATTCCAGGGGACGGCCTGGTGATTCCAAGACAGCCAGATGCTAAGTAGAGGAAGGCTTATTTATTTAATCAAATAAAATATTTCTCTTAGCCTGGCAGTGGTGGCACATGCCTTTAGTCCCAGCACTTGGAAGGCAGAGGCAGGTGGACAGCCTGGTCTATAAAGCTACACAGAGAAACCCTGTCTGTCTGAGTGTGAAACCTCCCTGGTCTACACACTGAGTTCCTGACCAGATAGTGTATCAATGAGATGGTGAGAACCTCTTTCTCACTCTCAAAAATAAAATAATAAACAGGTCGAGGCAGGAAGGATGCTGTGAGCTGCAGGCCAGACTAGGCTACAGAATTAAGCCCCTGTTTCAAACAAACGAAAAAGAAATCCACTCTGCATAGAAGGAGGCTGAGGGCCAGGGGTGGGGGATTCCAGAAAGACAGACAACCTTGCAAAGACCTCAGAAGGAAAAGGGGTAGGAATGTGATTGGTCCAAGACCTCAAGCTAAGACAGATAGGCTAAGAATGCCCAGTGCTAAATTGTACCCATACATTTGTCCACCCATACTCTTTGTTTAGTTTTATGGTTCATAGAAAAAAAAGGCCTCTTCACCTTGCCCAATCTCCTTGGTACAAGCCACTGGGAGGCAGATTCTGCCCAGGGACAGTGAGGAGCTGAGCTCAAAGCCCTTTCACACTACCCAGACCATACTCTGTAAAGGGTAGCTACTGAGAAGAAAGATCTGCCACACTCTTAGAGAGGGGACATCTCTGCAGCAAGGCTGGGAGTGGGAGCACCCCAATCATCCCCACCCTCTAATGATGTCTTCTTTTTTTGTTTGTTTGTTTGTTTGTTTGTTTTGAGACAGGGTTTCTCTGTATTGTTTTAGAGCCTGTCCTGGAACTCGATCTGTAGACCAGGCTGACCTCGAACTCACAGTGATCCGCCTGCCTCTGCCTCCCAATTGCTGGGGTGGGATTAGAAGCAGGCACCACCACCCGGCTTTGCTGATGTGTTCTATAGCCAGTAGCACACTAACGTTTGCTGTGATTGGGGTGGGGGGCAAGGGGACAAAGAACACAGGGGAAAACATTGGTTCCTCCCAAGGAACAAAGTCAAAATTTGGGTCTGTGAGGAATATCCAGTATATACCCAGCTACATTGGAAAAGTGTCCTGAGGCTTACAGGAAGGCGGGCTGCGTGGCCCTGGAGAGACAGGCCCCAAGGAATGCTCAGGGGTGATCTGGGACTCGAAGGTCTTGCTGGCCAGGTGACTGATATCAGAGGCCCTTGCAGGTCAGAACTGCTGTCTAGACTCATGCTCTGAAAGTGGAGGGGAGGAGGGAGAGGAGAGGGAGGACCTGCCTGCTGAATCTCCAGTAAAGAGCCAGTGGGCCATCTTGACTCTGTCACTTAACCTAAGGCCAAGCAAGCTGCAGCACTCAGAGGAAAGCAAGCCCCTTTTTCCATTGCTACTTCCTCCTCCCAGAACCAGGT